TGTTAACCTGGCCCATTTTTTATTAAAATAAATAAATAAATGTGTTCAATAATTAAAATTACTGAATTAAAATTTTATTTTATAGAATAATTTAGGGAAAGTGTAGGTATCGTTCAGTGGAAAATTTCGAAGTTGGATTATTTAAAAAGAGGCTCGACGAAATCAAGTTTCGCGAAAAATTCACTTTCAATGTAGCAAAAGTTCTTGAGTATAAATCTTCAAGTAAATCAGGAATGTTCGAGTTAATTTCAGAGTGCGTGGGAAGCCTGAAGTTGAAATTCTTGGAAGTCTTGAATAGTTAAATGGTTCTTCGAATTTTTTGATTCAGAGATTTGTATTTTTAAACACTGGAAATTTCATAACTATCACAATGACTGACGAGAAAATTAATCCCGTTTTTAAGTAAATTTTTTATCTTCGACTATTATTACTGTGTGAATATCAATTTTCAAGTTTACACTGAGCATAAATAGTAATAACTGTAAAAGAGCTGTTCTTAAATGTACATATATACTGATAGCTTATCACGTGGCACAAAATGTATGCGAATCATTTTCTGTTTTTATCTTCAAACAATGCAATCGTTTAAAACCGAGCCGACGTCAAACATAAGCAACGTTGTAGACTGAAACGAAACGGTGCACTATGTTCGCAACGCAAACGCATTCCTGATGGAACAGATAATTCAGAATTAGCATCCCATCAGAACGTGTTGCATAATCCAACGAGCATCTTCAGATCATTCTTGAATAAATTGCGTATAATTGATCCAATTAAAGAAGTAATCGCTTAACTCGTATTTTACCAATATATATACATGTCGTACAACTTATTGCATAATTGCATCCTTCGGACTATACTTATCAGCAGACTTTAATCATTCTTCATTTACTCATTAGAGGATAATGATACATTTCGAAAATACAGTATTATATGAATTTTAATGGAACGTAATAAGATTAAAATTATATCTAATAAAATACTTTCAAATAGCCTAAATTATACAAAAACCTTATATATAATTGACGTTTCCGAAAATTTGACGGTAAACGTGTATGTTCAAAAAGGAAAGAAAGTATTTAATGATCTTTCTTGGGAAAATTATATGAAGTTCAATATACTTTACTGCACACGAGTTTGAGGTCAATAATAAATTGCAACATGCCTCATTCATGCGTCCGCATAGAAAAGAATATCGACAATAAATGGTCAGTGATTCTGCATTCAAGCCTCGTCTGGATGAAACGGATGAGCGCCGCTGTGAAACCTCGGAAGTCATGATTTATATCGGGTATATTTTTACATTGCATGCTCGTTCTTCTATACCGTAACTCTTTTACGGCGACGCATGAAAGAAGCATTAGAAAATCGTTCTACTCCGCGGAGTAGACGGTATCGAGAGAGCCCAGAGAAATTTTTCTATTTTTTATCTTCAAAGGTATGCATGTATTATCGTCAATATTTAAAATACAATTTCAAAGACACTTTTCACGTTAATATACTACCAAACAAAATTGACTTTGACAGAAAATAATCTGGAAAACTCACAAAATAAATCGACTAAAGTTTCTAAACACTTCATTCATCTCTCAATTACACATTCACTACTTAATTCATTCAGAGTATATACTATCAATTTTTCCTACAGATTTAGTACTTCATTTAACGATATCAAACTTGTAATAAAAATAACAAATATATTCTACGAAATTAGTGACAAGCTTCTCACTGTCATATGTTAAAAAGTACGTACACGAATTTGAATGAACTAGACACCATGTGTGAGAGACGAATGAAAGCATGGTTTCGCAACAGGTTAAAAAAGATAACCGGTGTCTCGGGGTTTTCTGAACTCCATGGGAAAAATGCTTACAAAGTGACCAAACAGTGTTTCAGCGATTGCACAACATTTGACTTTTCTCGGCACGGTCACCCGGCATTGCGGCATTTAAACCATGTTGTAATTCCCCTGGAAGCATAATCCGTCCGTCCCAGTTGAGGAAACGGATCCCACCGTAACTCGTAAGCGATGATTCATGCTGGGGCTCCGATAGACGGTGTCGTTTCTTTCACCGTTATTAAACCTGCCAATAGCTCCTGACATCTTTCTCTCTCCTTCTCCTTCTCTCTCGGCTGATAATTCGAAGTTACGCGACCGGTAATTTCAGGCAATCATTGGCAATCAGTTCCTTAATGCTTCTTTTCTGTACGGAATTTGATCAAATTACCCCGACACTTTTGTCGACAAAACACACACACACACACGCCCAACATACCCACATGAACTTAAAAAAACAAAATTTCGTAACCAGACATTCGACCGAACTTTTTCATCCCGTTTTCTTCTTATTGTAATGATACTCGCATTCACTGTGAACTGCAAGTTAATCGACCCGGTTTATTGTTCATTGCAATAACCACTTGAACACTGTATCGAGTAATTTAAGACATAATTTAATTTCAATCCGAGTGCAGTTTAGAGTGATAAAAGCTATTCATGGAGTACCCCGGCGATTGAACTATGTTTCGAATAGAGACACGAGAAAGGAAAATCGCTAATGAACAGATTGCATAAATTGCATCGTTGTCCCTTAATTAAGTTTCAAAATATAGAGAATATATCATCAATGAGACAAATTTTGTATTTTTCAATTAAAAATAAGGGTCGATTTAAATATGAAGGTATATAAACGTTCAACGAAACAAAAATTGTTCACACTTTTGGAAAATTATCCTATAAAATTTAAATCTTAATTTGAACTGTAATTCGCTGAAAGTAGAATTGTTGAACAAACTAATAATGAGATAAAGCCACAGGAATACGAAAGAAACAAAGAAAAATGCGAAATCGACGCAAAACCCAATGAACGATCTCAGAATCGTATCCACTGCTCTGAATGGGTGCGCAGCAGGTACCAGTCGTGCGTCTATATAGAGGCAACACTGTATTCTTCAAAAACCAGTTACCTCTTTACACGTATCATTAAATATTCTCAATGTTGATGCTCCATTCTACTATGTACACACATTGGCACAAGACCAACGCATAAAAACCGCACACGATTAATAATAATTCTGGTCCGCATGGCGCGTTGAATTGGTCGGCTCGAGGCAAAGGGAAATGCGCGGAGCTAATGAAATTTTCCTCGGGTCTCTAGCGTCGTGTGAATGCACCGTGATCACCCCCTCTCCTAATAAACATCATTTTCCCCTTGGTCCGATGGTACAACGCCGGCCCGTAAAGGGTTAAGAAACGGCTGCCGTTCGACTCGAAAAGGAACCCGCCGGAACGGAACGAGCCAGGCGGATCTCTCGTACGTGTTTGCGTGTCTGGCACCGTTCACCGCGATACACAACAGATACACATTCGTACAGGCCGAGAACCTTGATGCATTAAGCAGTGTCCTTGAGACACGAGGCCATCTCCTGTGCAGCTTGTGCCCGCGGCCGGATCGCGACGCAGCCTTAAGGTCATTGCACACTTAACCCTTTGCACTAGAGAGGCGACTCTCAGTTGCCATTCGTTTCAACAAATGGAAGATTATAAAATTTAAGATTTAACATTAATAACACTATAAAACCGTAAAATTTTAAATATTAAATTCAATATTCAATTTTGCGTACTGTATCAACACACGAAGCAGTTCTCTCCCTTACTTTATGTAATATTTCTCTTTATATTAGTTGCAAACAAATTATTGGTTTTTGTCAGAAAATAATGAATATTTACAACGAGAAGTTTTATCGATTGCAGAGGTTTTACTATACTATACACGACGGAAGCTGTTCCGATGGACCAACTGCGGAATCCGAATACTTAGAATTTCGAAACTGGTGGTTTAGTCAATTCGTATCTCTGAATTTAGAGGAATACGCGACGTTATATTGCGTTGCGACGTTAAGTTTGATTGAAAGTACGAACGTGCTCTGACTCCAAGAATTTAGTCGTGAGTCACTGCAAATGAGTCATTTCAAATGGAAAATGGTCATAAATGATAATGAAGATTACGTGGGAGATTGTAGAAGATTAAGTAAAAGACTGATTGTATGTACCTAAATTGTATAAAAAATCTCTTCCAAAATTTCAATAGAAAATCGAACCTGACCTCGACATATTCTTCAAAGAAAAACGGAACCTTTAAAGATAGAACGAAGCAAAAATAACTAACGACCGAAGTTATACTGAAAACTCTTCCTATTACTCAAAAACAGTAAACATTTCTAACAAATGTATCGGGTTTTGAAAGAAACAAATCATCGATTTACTTATACAAAGAAAATAAACATCCATTACTTCCCGACATCTTCAATTTCACATTGCGCTACAATCCCACATTCACATCTCTATACTAATCTACCTATCAAACTTCTCTATCGCCGCTCTATTAATCCGAAACTATCAATTCCATTCAAACTCTCATTATACAATCTTATTATCCGCCAAAAAATTTTCTTCGAACCATTTAATTACACGAGCGCGCGCACGAGACCAGCCGAACATAGAAGAGCTCGCGGCACGTGGAGGCGGACAGGATTCACCACTCCTGCCCCTCTGTCTACCTCTTTCTCCGTCGAACACGCGGTGAAATAGGGTACAAAGGATCCGGTAGAAAAGACGAGAACGAGCGCGTAGGCACCGGTTTACTCCTTATAAGAGTGACACGCGCGCGCGCCTTCGGCCATAGCATTATTAGGCGGATGATTACCGTGCTCCGAGGCTGGGGGCAGAACCGCCTCGCCTTGTTCGGGGCCTTATTTCCTGGGGTGAAAAGAAAAGTCACGTGATAAGCATCGGCGCCTGTTGAATCGCGCGTGACCTGAGTCCCCCCGCAGGCTCTCGCTCACCTCTTTCGCAGCCTTCAGCCTTCTTAACACGTTCGCTGCTCAACACGAATTAAATTGTAACTAACGACCCGTTGAAAATTAGTTTATTTCTCGCAGTGATAAAAAAATAATTTGCATCCTGTTTGACACAAATTAATTTTTAGTGCATGTTCTGCCGATAATTGTGAGTGCTAGGAGAATGTTTGCAGTGAGATATTGTGGATCAAAAAGTGTCTAAATTTGTATAATGTAAGTGGCAATTAACGTTTAAGTACTTTCTTAAATAGCTGTATACTATTAAGATATTCATTTGCTATACTTTTCACTGTGGAAAGATGGATTACTTAATAAATAGAGTACTCCCTTTCAGTGGTCACGGTTACGTTCTGATCCTAAGCTTGTTAAGAGGAATGGATACGGTTTTATGGTCGCTTATTAGCTAATGCGTTATCTTTGCAATCTTTATTGTTTCTTCTACATTGGTACTTTCGTTTTATTTCGTTATTGGTACGTATGAAATAGAATATGTGTATTGTTAGTCAGTTAAGATTCAAATTTAATCCTTTCCAACGTAGAGTATTGAATAAAACGAAACTTTATTGTGCTATTTCGAATGATCAATAATTTATTTGCAACGTTTCCTTCGACACACCCCGTAGAATACCGGCCTGAAGTTCCCATTCACTTCCTAAGAAGTATCATTAACCGGATAAGATTTGAATGCTCGTAGTGGAAGAAACCTACGCATACGTCTATACTTACACGTACCACGTCAAGTTCATGGCCCTTTGAAGAAATTATCAGTCAGACCATCTACAGTCGACAATATGTGGGTGCCAGCATGATGAAGCAACGAAAAGGCCGTGTTAAAGTTCACGTAAGGAATCGCCTCTATGAACTTGTTACGAGGCAACCTTAAAATACGCACAGTGGAACCACAATTTGATTCGCCGTTTTTATCATGTCTACCGTGTTAATCGTTTCCCTCGTTATTATGATAATTTTTTTGGAAAACTTTCATACAGTCTGATGCACAAAGGCAAATAAACATAACCAGCTCCAGAATGCAACAAATGTAGAATTTCAAGCTGATTAGAATGTATCATACACTTCGAAAACGACGAGTGTATTAAATTTAGAAAAATTTCCAGAGCTGAACATTCGAGGAAAATTCGAGAAACTTCGAGTAAGTAATGTGAAATCATAGAAAGCGAGGTGGAATCAATTGAAACTCGGGTTAGATTAGAATAACTTATTCGAAGGAGGCTAAATTTAACTCGCGGACTGATTCTACTGAAACATTCGTAATTGATTATTCATTAATAACACGTGAAAATTTAATGAAGCATGAAGTCCAGATAAGAATGTTAAGGTCACTGAAGCGTCGATGTATAAAATTATCCTTTCTGTATTCCTTTCGTGACAAACGATAATTACCCAACTCAACGTGAATTCGAAATGATCTCATTATCGTACAAGAAACTACTTAACGGAAATTGATTGTAATAAATATATACTCTATATACCAATAATTGTTATATTATATCATTATACCTTGCCATCAAACTGCTAATTACATGTGTTTATAACATTTCTCCTGTTATTTTTATCTTTTTTGTGATATAAGAAAATTTCTGATCGAGAAACAGCTAAAGCCATTTTCTAATTGTTAAATATAAATTTTCTTATCTAATATAATGTACATGATAAATAAGTATATAAATTAAATCTATAAATATATTCTCAGTTTCTGTAAAGACCTGCAATATACTTATCATTAAGCGATCAATACTATTCAATCTGTTCTAAGACATTCTAAGACATTATATGTTTTCTCCTCTTTGAATGCTCAGATATCCAACTTGTATCAGCAATATAAATCTTTATATAAATCAATAAATATAATGGTTAGCAGATACCTCATTCCTTAATTAACGATTCAAAAGGATACAGAAAGCTGTCTTCCTATAAGGGTCAAGGTGTCCCCGACTCGCGAAATGATCGGTAGCTTGGAAACTGATACTATAAAAGACCTGCGAAAATTTCACTAAACTTTCCCACGCGATTGATTCCCACGTGTTTATCAGCGTCGCATAAATCGTTTGCTTTATGCGTATTTTGTAAACCCGATGCCAAAGGATTTGGGTCACACAGGGTTTCGCGACTAAATAAATTTCTAAAAACGAATGCAAGAGGATGAATGTAAGAAATTTCCAACGGTGACAAGCTCGTAAATAACTATACGCTGGACGTCGACTACTCATAGGTTATTCTATTCATACTAGAACAAACGAATGTTGACTTACTTTAACTTGATTGAGGTTAATAGAATTCTGCCTGAATTCTGTTTAACTTTGCCGAAAGTACAATCAAACTATAGATGCCTGAATTATACTTTAATTTCAACATAATTCGACTTGAATTGTACTTGAACTTCACTTTAATTTAACTTACATTACGCTTCATCGAAATTCAACTTGGATTGCACCTGAACTTTACTGAAGTTCAACTTAAAATGCACTTAAACTTCACCTAAATGCAACACGAATTAAACCTCACTCCCACTTCAATTCAACTTCAACAAACTGCACTTAATCTGAACTTCATTTACAACATCCATTAGAAAGTCCTTACTAGTTAATCGTTGCTTCAAAGAACCATATGCTAAACTGTTCAGATGCTAATCACATTTAAAAACCTGTACGTGTCTGTACGAAGACGAGTCTTAAAAGTGATTCTCCAAAGTAGCTCTCGCACCTATGTCAACTCGAGGATATACTCCTACAACTTTTACTCTCGAGAGTCAGAAGTGTCAGCTATTGAAAGGTAAGCTGTCGAAAGGTCTTAGGTCTGCATCCACTAGAGAGATCTCGACACGATAGTAAAATTCTTAAGTCGATATCGACAGCGTGCAATTTATGAACACCGAAAGATCAGTGAAACAAGATAAAATAATCCATCGGACCACGGACAGGTACTTTACACGCTCACCTATCCGTAATAATTTCCCTGAGCGTCCCGAGTCATTCTGATCACTTTCTTTGCGTCCTGGCGAGCTTTCCTCCACGAGGAAACGAACCCAGCCGCGGGCGTTTAATTACACGGTCACATTAATCACACCCACGTTGGACGAAGTCGACGCTGTCCACGTCGATAACCGGGAACGATTCTCTGTTTTCCAATTACACCCCGACACCGGGTGTAATAAGCTTAAGCAGATCGAGACAAATACCGTCCATTAAGTTATTTCGCCTCGAAGCTCTTGACCTTCGACATTCGATGGAATGCTCTCGCCGCAGGAGGACGATGATCCTGAAACGCGCAGACCTTGACCCACGCCACTCCACTTCACACGATGCACGTTTCATCGAATTTTTGATAAATTGGTGAACACCGTTCTTCGGCCACGCGGAATGTCGTATGGTGGTTGGTAGCTGCGCAGCCGAAAGAAAATCGGGGAAACGTGATCGATAATGAGGATCATCTCGTGGTTTCTCAGCGGTATTTTTATTTCTTTACATTGTTGATGTGATTTTGGTCAGCTGACAAATTTTGGTCTCGAATAGAAAATTAATCGATACACGACTTCTTGATGTGAATTTTATATTAAAAAAGTGATCGATAATTCTTTTCCGAATAAGCTAAAAAGAAATTGTTATTTGAGGCAATTTGTTGATTATACGAATTAATAATTGTTGATATTTGAAACATGAAATGGAGAAAGTTATTCAAGATCAATGCTGTAGTTTGTACGAGTTATTCGACTGAATTGGTTTCCCTCGCAATCGAAATGGTACTTAGTTTCTACTTATCAGATAAAGTGGATACACTTTTAGACTTAAGTAATCAGGTTGCAGTTTTAATTCGGAACCGGTTGGTTTCTCCTTGCAAGCTAAAACGAACAATTATATTCAGACCTGTGGACAAGACATTCGATTGCATATCGAACGTTGGGCTGATCAAACACACGGACGTCCAGGTAAACGCTGGGCTTCTCGTTATTTGTGACCAGACCGAGCTTAATTGACTGTCCAAGGTCACTGTCAAGGATTGCATCGAGTGATTCCAAATGAAATACTGATTGAAGTATACTTGCGTACAGCTGAGTTCTGTCTGAAGTTTAAAAGGGAAACTACTCGATGGTTCCTTCAATTTCAATGAAATTTTTATGTAATATTCTATCTTGTGACTCACTGAAACTTTCGAAAGTCTAACTTATTAAATTCTAGCTTAGCCAAATGCTATTTGAACTTCGTCTGTATTCACCTTGAATTCTATACTAATTAAATGTATATTATATATACGTATACATATATCAATAAAATGATCAAACGTGACGCTAGTAAATTTTAATTAATTTCTAGTATATGATCTACGTAAATTTGATTAATTTTGAGAGACGACGTTCTTTAATCTTCCTTTTGGTATCATCTTACCTGTCGGCGGGAAACTCGACTCGGCTCGAATAGAAAGTTCGTCGATCGAAGAAATCGACTGTTCGCCGACGGATCGAATTTACGAGATGCATAGAAAGTAATCTTTATGAGAAATATAGGATGTCAATACCGTAAATACTTTGATCGTGAGTGGCAATACGAAGAATGGGAACTGCGTATCCAACACAACCTTACGGAACACTGTATTAATCGGCGTTATTTTTCGTTTGCAAATAGCAATTTGTTCAAGTCAAAATCAGCACACGAGTGGCGTTAACCTGATTTAATGCGCGAGAATTTTTTCTCATTGCGCAAAGTGAAAATATCCTTGAAAAGTGCACGTTTCTATTTTATATTTCAGGCAGCAGTGACCATGCACCGGAACAATTGCAAAAGAGAACTTTTTTATAACCTTCTGAAGGCCTTTAGAACATTGTTTACTACTGTCGAGAAAGCGATTAATTGCATTCCAGCGAATACTAAATTAATCACGTTCGAAATCGACAACCAAATACTTCTTTTACTAAAATACTTCAGAAATGTAACGAGCAAAACATAAATCCCTATATTTCGCTTTACCCAAGATCTTTCTCCACGTAAAAGTTACAATCTAACAATATCACCAACAAAGTAAACAAATATTTCACAAAACCTCATCTTCGATCCACTTTTTGTCTGTCTCCACGCCCACAGACGCGATTAATCTCACTCACATATAAATTGCACGCCAAAAGGACGAATTTAATTTATTATTGACCCTAATTTATCATCAGAAATCAGTAATTAGCGAATTAATGCCTCCACTAATATGTATATTTAAAGATAATGACAACTCGTTTCCTCTTCCGCGCATTAATCTGCCAATAATTGAGGACCTTAAAGTTAATAAATGATATACGACGCAGAAACTATTGTGAAGCCAGTGAACCCATTACAGTAATAACGTGAGCGCTTAATAAACGGTCTTCCTAATTGACGGAACGACCACGGATAAGAGATCGAGAAATATCGATACCAGGAGAAACAGAACCGCAGGTAACTTTCCACTTTAACCGATCCGCAGTTGTCTCTGCACGGTCCAGTGGTCTTACACGGGGATTTTCAAAAAACGATCGGAAAGATCGAGGAACTTCGAATCGCCCGCTGGAAACTGGAGCGAAACAGATCGACGCGACGCTTCTTTTCGTACTCGTGATCTCGGGGCTGTGCATGTCCGACTAACGATAGATAATTATCGTCAAATAAACAAAGCCAATCCCTCGGAACGAGGATAAATATCCCGATAGATGAAACTTTCTCTCAATATGACGAGCTGAGCTCGAATTTACAGATATCCTGCATGATAATAAATCGGTTTCAGTTTCGACGCGCA